TTGTATCTAAACTACATACAAGTGCAATTCACATAAACACAGATGCCAGATATTAAAAAGAAATACACCCAGTGCACCAAACAGAAGCAGACATGCACTGACCTGCAAGTCCTCAGAGACCGCCGTCGAAGACTGACCCTGACATGTTACAGTGTGTGTGTGTGTGTGTGTGTGTGTGTGTGTGTGTGTGTGTGTGTGTGTGTGTGGTCAGGGTTCAGCTCACTAACACTGCAGGTGGTTCAGTGGCTTTTGGTATTTCCTCTTAATTGGTTGATTTGCAACCCACTCGAAAACTGTTTGGATTTTTGACACCTGCTCACAGCTGACACACAAAACATACACACAACGCATACACACACACGGACGATGCCACAGACATGTTAATGCATAAACACACACGCACACACACAGATGCAAAGATCCATAAATGCCCTCACGACTCATGAATATACACACAAACGCAGACGGCAGCACAGTGCAGGCCTCTTTTCTCTGCATAGCCTCGGCACCTCCACCCGGCTCTCATTAATACACACTCGAATGACAGCTCGCTGTTGCCATGGCGACCCCCTACCTGTTGCCAAAGGAGGCTGGTAGTTTAGGGGGCTTGTGAACGCTGCTCAAAACTATTGCAGCTCAATTTTTATTTTTTATTTTTTAGCTGTGTGTCAGGAAGCTGCCAGTGCTGCTCCAGGCACGCACAATTAACCACTTTGGAACAGAGAATAGTTTCATTCATTTCAATGCAATTCAATCTGGCTCACTTCAGTGCAAAGCTATGCCCTGTTCTGTGCGTTTTGTTATGAGAGAGGCTGAATTCTCCTCAGGAGTAAAATAGGCCTACTCCAATATATGACGCTCTATTCTAATTCTTCTCTTCATTTTCGTACTCGTCTGTTCGACGTTATTCATTCCGGGAAGATAAGATGAAACTAACTTGAGGAAATTGCTTTGCTTAATTCATCATTCCGAGCTGCTCTATTCTAATTAAATCACTGCATATTCTATTCTTGCTCTGCTATTCTTCTTCGCCACACCATTCTATTTTATATTGTTAACAAAGGTTTTATACACTGCTGGAAAATGGCTTTCTGGGCTAATTGTGCCGTGGAGGGATTCTTCTTGCTTCTCAAGAGGAAGTTTAGGAACTACACAGAAACTGTACATCCATTAAAAATACATGAAATATTCCAAATCAGCACTATTAAGAGAAGATGCTTAAAAATCACACCCTTGCTGCAGTTTCTCCCACAGGTTTTTATGCACCACGATAACTTCAAACTCTACAGTTTTTTTCTTTTGGTCTATATTCTGCTAATGTGTGGGGTTATTTTTTTAATGACCCATGGCTTACATGCCTGTGCAGCCATGTTGGCCAGGGATTGCTGGGGTTAGGGTAGGATGTAGGGTTTTAGCGTCTTTATGTGTCAAGTTTGCATGTTCTTGTGTATGCGTGGGTTCCCTCCAGGTACACCAGCTTCCTTCTAAAGCCCAAAGACACGCAGTTAGTGGGGTTAGGTTAACTGGTGATTCTAAATTGCCCATAGGTGTCAAGCTGAGTGTGAGTGGTTGTCTGTCTCGCTGTGTTAGCCCTGCGTCAGACTGGCAACCTGCCCAGGATGTTTCCTGCTGCTCGCACTATACATACACATGCGCACACAGAGGTATGGACCTAAATGTTGTATGTTTAATTGGTAGTTAAATGTTGACCTTTTATAATATCAAAGGTCAAGCATATCCATGTTACACCTATATAGGTGATTTTTCTTGCTTCAGCACTGTGTGGGTGTGTACAAATGAATTAAAGCTGAAATCTCAGTCACTCACTTATTTAGTTGCATTCTTTAGGGAGGGGATTTTTTTTACCTTGATCATTTTGATTTTCACATGGAGTCTAGTGAGATGGCTTTCCTTCAGCCTGAGCAAAGGTCAATCAAAAGTCTGTTACACTGTGTATGAAGACGGTGCTGAAAGTGACAACTGATAATTAAATGGCACAGTCTTGCTATAGTCAAAGTGGAAGTAGATGCTCATATTAAATGTTTTTAAAGTTTAAAATAATGATGGCATATGCACAAATAATCTCAGGATTCAGACTGCTCTCTTTTTGCACTCCTGGTTTTGGTTGATTTCAACAAGACTTTCCCCTTTATCGGTTACTAGATGAGCTGCACCCCAAGCACAGCACATGTTCTGTGGACTTAAATTTTTATCCAACACTTCCTGCTTTGACCTAGCTACTCTGCAGGTTTTCAAAGTTAATCAAAAATGCCTTAACTGTGGTAAAGCTAAATGCACTTAGCAACAAGGAATCCACATAAAAAAAAATCTTTTTTGAACCCAACAGGAGGTAAAGGCACACGCTCACTTCACAGAGGGCTTTCATCAACAAAGCTCAGTATGAAGCTAGTTTTTCAGTTATGCTAATGCTAACACTGTTCCACCTTAAAAGCATTGTTTTACATAGTAGATAAATCCAGCGGCACACTTCAGCTTTAGTATAAGATAAATGGGTAATTTTTCAACTTTGACTCAAACAATTAAAAAAAAATAGAAATGCAAAGCTAAAAAAGAACATTTGTTTTTACCTAAACAGGCAGCAGACTTTGTGCTATTTCATAATTCAGACATGATGTCTAAAGACAAAACTTCTCAGAGGGCCGGGTCTGGTTTAAAGGGTTGCATTTCTATATAAAACAAAGAAATGTCTCCTTTTCATTTAAATTCAGACTAACAAAATGAAATATAGTGATGAACAGTGTTTCGGTAAATGCAACAATAGAATAAGACAAACGAGAGCATTTTAAACTTAATAAAGCAGCAGTCACGGTCTATAATCAAGTGTTTACCAGCAGACTTTAGCTTCAAACACAAGCCACCCCATCCCCCTGGTCTGGTATATCTCATATTCTTTCATTTGATTACAGTAAAAGTCCGGAACAAAATCAAGGCTTTTCTCATCATGCACTAAAGTTGCACCATCCTTCCTGGAACAAAGTAAGCTAACTGGAGCTTAAATCAATGTGATACAACCCTGCACACGGAGGGTTCCCGTGCAGAGTCGGCCAACACAAGCAACTCGTGAGGTCTCAAGACTGCGTTTGTAACACTGCAAAAACCAGTCCAACTTTACATATGATGTAATGTAACAAGATTCAAACCGTTTCATTGGGTTTTTTTTCTGCTCGGCCACACACACACACACACACACACACACACACCACCTGAGCTCTTGCAGAGCTAGCACAAAAAAAGCTGTCTCTCTCCATCACAAGGAGAGAGACAGCTTCAAATAAGACAGACACACACTCACACACTCCAAGGCCACACAGAATATTGTAGAGGGTCCTGTCATTGTGGGAGCTGTCAGGATGAACATATGGTTGGGGAACACGTGCTCGAGTGTGCATGTGTGTGACTTTAGGAGGGCAGATGGCTTTCAGCAGGTCATTAATACCAACTACACATCCTGCACTTATCCCATCACTTAATCCCCATCAAACTAAAACCTGTTGTAAGGCGGAAGGAGGAAAACGGCGCAGCCCCAAACTAATAAATGGTGACAACTTGTTGTACATTTAACCCATCAACCAGTTTACGAAAGACCTTATATAACAACAAAGGAAGCAACCACTTTAAGCTAAATGGCACTTTGCAGAGAATCTAAGTGCTTAAGACAATAAATCAACATTAATCCATAAACAGTTTCAAACTGCTTTTAAAGCTTCTGAGAAACGGGTTAAATTGTTCTGGCTATTACAGAACGAGCACCAGGAAATTATGACATATCACAGATTATTTCTTAATGAGGTTCCACCAGAGCACAGCGTAGGCAACGTTTAGCTAATTGTAAAGCACATGTGCATGAAAACGAAAAACAAACAAACAAATAAATAGTTTGAATTTGTTACTTTTTTGTTGGGTGACAAAAAAAAAAAAAAAACGCTGATGATGTTGGATTTCTTCATGAGCATGAAGAAACGGCCTGAATGTTAAGAAAATTCAACATTTTCAATTGGCCATGTGTTTAGCGTTAAGAGCTGACAAACCAAGAGACACAGAATCTAAATCCATTAAACGTGACGCATTCAAACCCAAGATTAGCTCATCTCCACAACCACACTTTGATGCTAGTCTTTATATGTTCAGTTTACACTATGGGCATTAAAGTGAAACATTTTAATGAACGCTCAGTTTTCACAACGATTGTGGATCAAAGCTGAATCGACTGCTTTGTTTTCTTCCGTTTCATCTTCTGCATTACACAAGAGATCATCATTATTTCAACACAGGACTCGACTTTAAACCCAAGTCATCGAAGCTAAACAGTTCTACTAGTGCAAAGCTGAAAGGCCAACCAACAGAAAAATATCCTGAAGCTATGAAACTGAAAACTGTTCATTTCCAAACCGAATACAATCCAAAGGATACATGCAGATCATACCGAGTCATCAGTATTTATCGTGATATTCCGAAAAACTCCATGTTATACTTCAGGGCATACATGACCCCAGTGGGAAAAGATCCCCCAACTCTGCAATGTTCTCGGGATCCAGTTAAACAAAACCACATGTGCTTATGTTATTTACTATATCAACATTATGTTATTTCCCCATCCTCAGCTGCTCGCTCATTGTGGATTTATGGTAGAAATTCTTCACTTTTTAACCTTTCTGCAGAGATCCAAGGGGAGTGATAGAACTGGGCTCGGGCTCTGGAGTGGATCTAGGCCACTCAGACAGGCTTTCAAAGAGCCTGGGCCTGATGGGTAGTCTCAGGGTAGAACTGGCTGTAAATCTCTTGACCTGGAGAGTTGAACTTATCAGGTGTGCGCGTCATGTAAAGCCATAAAAGTCTAACAGATGCAGTGCTTTCTTCCGGAACAGTTGATTAATCCTCATGTCTTCACTTTCCACACACACTTTGGGAACAATACACAGACAGAATGCACTGCTTTGAAGGAAAGCCCTGGTAGTACACATGCAGAAATAAACTCCTACCTGTTCCTGTCTCTCCAGCCAGCGGTCCACCATGGGATGATTGGCGCTGAGCGATGACCGTGCTGTCTCTCTCTGGAATTCTCTCTGATTGGCCCAGGTCCCAGCGTCTCGTGGCAGACTGCGGTACGTGTCCATCCCTTTACCCTACAAGAAAAAAAAAAGGAATAGTTTTAGTTTTTACTTTTAATACTGTTACTACATTTCTCAGACATATGCCATGTCTGCTTTTTGTTAAGTAAATGTTTCTTTTCTTACTGAAAAATGCACATCAAGCATTAAAACCTTAACAATAAAGGCTAATCAACCTGCGCTGAATTTGCTCACAACTCTTTTTAAAGACAGACCGGACCACTTTATAGTTGTGAGCTGGTGTGTGTACATCGGTGTATATTCTCGAGCATCTCACACTTCTAATAATCAGCTGTCTGCTTGATGTTTATTCAGCTGTGTAAAAACTAGAACTTTAATCTCAGCCAAACCGATTTACTCAGGAACAAATAAAATACTGAAAAAAGCCAAACAATAACATTTTTAAAGTTATCTAAGTGACTTATATATGTTTAACCAGAGTATCGAAAGACGGCGGTGGGTTTGAAAACTATTTGCCGGGAGTCCGGTGTTCTCACGGGCTCTCGTGAGCCTTGACCCCGGCTCGCTATCGAGCTAGTGGGTAACAGACTTCGGAGCGCTTTTGAAAATATGTGGTGTCTTGATAAACTGAGCAGATATTTGAGGTTTACGCAGCTACATTCTTGCCTGAAAATATGTTAAACTTTTATTTTGTGACCCAGAAAGAATAATAAGAGTAATATTAAAACTAAGTAGCTGCCGCCATTGTTGGAAACTGAGCTGGGCTGCGCTATGAATTCTGGGACACAGCTTCTTCTTCTTCGGGGTTTAACGGCAGCTGGCATCCTTGTACATGCAGTGCTGCCATCTTCTGCTTCAGTCCGTTATTACACTCTTAAATCCTACTACTTCAAACGATGCGTCGACTATTAAATCAGTCGTCGACGATTTTGATAGTCGACGTAATCGTGACTAGTCGACTAATCGTGGCAGCCCTAGTCTTCACACTGACAAACACAAGTCGGTGGGTGTCTGGTGGGCTCGGAGCAAAACATTAAACAGTTACTTTTACAAAAAGAAAAGGAGAGACAGAAGATGTTGGAATTAAAGTGAGTCTATCTGTGGCTCAGCAGAGCTACAAAAACAAGAAAATCAAAGATGTCCAAATAGCAGAGTTGTGGCTTCTGTGGTTAAATACAAGCAAGCTAGATACAACGAGCATCTCTTAGTCGATGATGTTTATTCACACTTATTGGGAGGTGCATCTTAAACAACAGTGTGGAGGTATGTGGCTTTAGGCACAAACCGAGCAGAAGGGTGCAAATGTTCAATGTGATCAGTTTCAGCTTGGGAAAGTACAAAAAGCCATAAAGCAGCTTTTAAGGAGTTCTATGGTGACGAAAACAAGATGTTGATATATAACAGATGCAAAGGAACCTTTAGTGCATTTGTACTAAAAAGACAATGGCATCCCTCATGCAGTTTTGTGTGTGCAATTTCCTTCATTACTGTCAAATTATTCAAAATTAGCTAGCGCAAAGCCATGTCTGGTTTTAAAATCCAAGCACCAACCTTCCTTTCCAGGCTATTTGTGCCAGACGAGTGGCGAGCTTTCAGGAAGCCAGCGGTGGTCGACCAGCGGGTTGGGTTCTTCCTTGATGGCGTCTCATCTGGTTGGACCCGTGACTCACCGCCGCTGAACGGCCCATTGATCATCAGAGCAGGGTCACTGCTGCGCCGGACGTGGAGGGGCATATCTGAGGAACAGGTCATACACCAGGGCGTCAAAGCATTGTTGTACCTTTTTGTTTTTTTACTTTTCAATGGAAAAGTTCCACTTTCATACTTATGTAAAAAACAAAAAACAAACAACAAAAACCCTCGGCTCTATCTGTTAAAGACTATCGGCAAAGGCTGAGGAAGAAGACAGTTTGGAGATGATTGATGTAAATTTGCTGGAACAAATTTTACGTCTCAAACAATGTGGGCTAATAAAAGAAACAGATTCCATTATCATGCCATTGTGAATTAATGTGAATTATCGCCACAAGTCTAATCAGGCAGCCCTGCTTTACTGTCAGTGCATCTCAACCATAACGCAGAGCAGCAGGCTCTGTGTGGGAACAACAATAAGAGGAAGAGCCTATTGAGAAACCCCAGCGTTAGTGGATGCCTTCCATTAAAACTCTTCACTCTGAAAAGTTCCAGTGTGTGGGCGGTGGGCCAAGGTCCAAATAACAACCTCCAACAGGGGCAGCATGCACGAAAACACCGCGGCCCGCGCTTGTACACAAGACACGACGTTATGACAATAAAAATAACCTCTGGAAATTTCCACGAGCTCATTTGATTAGCTGAAAGGGCAGCCATCAGACCACACAGGAGACACGGATTATAAAAGGTTAGAAGTGTTTAAAAAGCCAGAGCGTCGTCTCGGGACGACCACGCCAAGTGTCATGTTCCCATGTTCTCTTCCAAAACATATTGCTGTTTACAAGTTTTCAGATGTTTGGAGATGGTGGTGTGTGCTCATACAGGAAATGCTGTGATCTTCCCAAAGAGTGTGTATCTGAGTCAACAGCTTGTTTTTGTGTGTGTGTGTGTGTGTGTGTGTGTGTGTGTGTGTGTGTGTGTGTGTGTGTGTGTGTGTGTGTGTGTGTGTGTGTGTGTGTGTGT